ACCTAGCCTGCGAACAGGCTCTCAAGCTGAATTGAGCGCCTGCATCGATGACTAATGAATTTGAATATCTGCGTCTCAAATCGTGACGCGAAATTCTCATTGGTCACATGCTATAATTTATTTTATTCCGCTGAGCTCTATATATGTCAACTGCTAAGCACTTGAAGGAACTAGATACTGTTCCGAAATATCACTTACTCGAACCGTCCTGACCGCGTAGCTCAGTTGGAAGAGCATTGGGCTAGTATTCCAAAGGTCGTAGGTTCGAATCCCACCGTGGTCGGGCATGTTTTTCAAGCTCGTCCGGTGTGGATATGCACTCAGAGTAACATCGCAAACACAGTATTTAAAACATTTAAACTTTTGTTTCAATATCTCTGTTTCAATATCTTCAATATCTGTTTCAATATTCAATGTTTCAATTTCAATATTCAATTTCAATTTCAATATTTCGAAAAACAGTATAAACTGTACGGTCTAAATTTAGTTTGCACGGTCTAAATTTAGTTTGCACGAAAGTTGTAAACAACACCATGCATATAAGGATAGACATTCCATATTTGGAAAAACGAACGTTACGGGGCAGATATTCAAATTCATTAGTCATCGATGCAGGCTCTCAATTCAGCTTGATAGCCTGTTCGCAGGCTAGCTTTAACCGCAAGTTAACGTATTCTAAGATGATGCCAATAAAAGTGTATGCCCTATGGGTAAATATCAGGATTTTATAGGCCGACAAAAATCACTATATCCTGCCCCTGACGAACTAGCTAGAATAGATGATTGATTGCTATTGGCAGTATATAGTCTTGTGTGAAACCATACCATCTTTGCACTGTAAATTCAAATGAGTCAAAACGATCCAAAAATAGTCATTTTGAGGGTCAAATTTGTCGACTCTTTTGGGGTCTTTCTTACTCTTTTCTGTTTCTGTTCTCTTATCTGTTTTTTTCTGGATATAGATTCATATCTCGCTGTGTATTAGTTATGGTAGGCGGTTGAAGTCAGTGGTGTAGAACTGAAACGAGAACAAGGGGGTCTCTTAAAGGGGGCGGGGTAACAAGATGTGAGGGTGACAATGCGCAGAGGATGCAATATGTTAAACATGGAAAGTTCAAGTATTTAGTTTTGGTTCTAGTAATTCTTCAATTTGTGTTTTTTGAAGCTAAAGGACTTCAAATAAAAGATTCCGATATACCGAAGCTATTTCATGTTGGAACCACATGCATACATGACCTAATAGTATGATCATCATACATGACCTAATAGTATGATCATGATACATTACCTAATAGTATGATCATCATACATGACCTAATAGTATGATCATCATACATGACCTAATAGTATGATCATCATACATGACCTAATAGTATGATCATGATACATTACCTAATAGTATGATCATCATACATGACCTAATAGTATGATCATCATACATGACCTAATAGTATGATCATCATACATGACCTAATAGTATGATCATCATACATGACCTAATAGTATGATCATCATACATGACCTAATAGTATGATCATGATCTTACCGCATCATTTGAACACAAATTACTAACATTACTAACATTACCACATCATTTGAATACAGTTGAAAACAACTTTCCAGGTTATAATTATGCAATCTGCAAAAATATTGGGGTCAGCCCCCCCCCCCTCCCCTCGTCCCATTCGGCATGAAATTTTTAACGAGAGGCTCAGCCCCTCTGAGGTCCTAACAAGAAGGGCTGAACACCCATGAGCTCCTCCTCTTCTCCAACCCGGGTTTGAGTGTTGGTAAAGGCCCGTTTACACTTGCAATTTTCCCTGCGATTTCTAGTGCGATTTTCCTCTTCTGATGAATGTGAACGAGTGGATGAGTTATGAATGTTCAGGTGAGGGTATACCTCCTATATCTATGGGGAATACCTCCTATATCTATGGGGTATACCTCCTATACCAGGTGATCTCGTGTTCGTATTTTAGCCAATCAGCGCTCAGAAAGGGTTGTCCGAATAGAAATCCATTTTGATGTATTCAGTCAATTATATCTTTCATTATTCTTTATGAAACTAGTTGAAATTTTGTAATTATGTTTAGTTATGAGAACTATAGCTCTGACAAAAATATGGAATCGAAATAAAGTATATTACAGGAGATATTCAGTTGTTTTAATCATAAAATGGATTTCTATTTGACAACTAGTGCCAGTACTTTTCCGCGTATCAAGATCACCTGGATCTATGGGGAATACATATACTCAGAACATTAATAGCTCATCCACTCGTTCGCATGCATCAGAAGGAGAAAATCGCACTAGAAATCGCAGCAAAAATTTCAAGTGTAAACGGGCCTTAAGGAATAGGCTCAGCAATCATAAACAGCGAGTCATTAATCTATAAGTGACTATAACCTTGGTTGTGTTGTAGTAACGAAGTATCAGGTTTATGATGGCCGAGAACTGCCGTTCAATAGTTCAGTAGACAGAACATAAATGCTAAAATTAAAGCACCACTGTTATGGAAAATATCGTGAGATATTAACGTTCTAGTACTGATGCAAATTGCTGCTTTGTGACGTCATTTACTCACCAGAGTGACGTCATTTACTCACCAGAGTGACGTCATTTACTCACCAGAGACGATTAGCAAGGGCTTGAAATAGCGAGTGTTTGAATCATTATGCAGCTTTCTTTCAAGTTTTCCAAGAAAGTAATAAAGAAGTACACTCTTTAAATTAATCTCTTATGAGTAAATGACCTAAAAATAATTTCCATATGCATATTTTAAAAAAGTAAATAACATCTCAATAACGATGTAAAAACTGGGAAACGGAAAAAGTTATACCGGCAAAGAGTTAAGTTGTTGGCACTAACAATGCAGTACAGCACAACATGTTTTGAAGTTCTAGACACTACACTTCAAACATTGTTATTTTATTTATTGACCTCATCTTGGATTGCTAATAGGCAATTCCAGCTTTTAGTTTATGCCTGCAGGGGATGATGGGAAGTAAGGTATCATATTGCTAATTATGCTGAAAAATGTCAATAAAAACTACCGAAACAACCGAAATATTTCAATATTTGTAAGTATAAGCTATCACTCCGTATTTACACGGCCATCATTTTTATTTTTTCAGCATAATCAGCAATGTGATACCTTACTTCCCATCGTCCCCTGCACGCATAAACTAAAAGCTGGAATTGCCTATTAAAAATCTTCTAGATTTTAGCAGACACGTCTACCAGGGTCTTTTCTCCCGTCGCCAAGAGGAAAGACCCTGGGTACGTGGTTGCAGATATACATTCTCATCAAAATCAATATTAATTGGTTCTCATGATGCGTGTTTTTCAGTTTAGATTATAAGGTGAAATACGAGGATAAAATTTAAAAATAGGCATTGATGCAAACCCAAATCATGTGCCCTCAAATCACCCGGCCCATTAACAAATACAGTCGGAATTAAAGTTAATACTTTTTTACTTAATTGTACTTTCTAGCAAATTACGTACTCAACTTGGACTACAACCTCTTGTGATTGAGGAATCGACTGAGGACGTACAGAACTCGATACCGAACTTGGCGGAGAAACGTCCCGTGTCTTGCAACGATACTGGATTAAACTCGAGTACAAAGGTAAAGGTATAGGTTCCCTCCCCGCTTAATTGACTCTTCCCATCCGTCGTTCCAATTACCAGCCAATTTAAGAATACTTAGGCTGTTCTAAATATAACTGAATAATAACCCATATATACGCTAATAAATAGGCAGGCATGTTCACTACGATGACAATATATTATTACATGCAAATTTTTTCACCTTTTTATGCAAAATGTACTGTGTTCTATGGGGGGGGGGATGAATAGGTTTTCGGATCGTCGGATTTCACAGAAAAAATTGTTCGGATTTCGGATCTGGCGAATACTTTACACGGATTTGCGGATCTTATTAATACAGCGGATTGCGGATTTATCTAATATTTTGGCTCGAATTGTGGATTTAGCTTGCAATTTAGTTCGGATCCTGAATTTTGACTTCATAGTAGAGTTTTTAGCGGATTCAAATTTAGACAAGACCATTGCCGGATCGCGGATTTTGCTTCAAATTTGGGCGGATCGGCGGATGTGTACACCCCTATTCACCTCCTATGTATGTGTGTCTAAAGAGTAAAGAATACTTCAATACTTATCCCAAACACAAAATAGCCAATCACCCAGCCACAAGTCGGTATGAAAAAGGGTATAATCCAACTTTGACAGGCTATCGTGAGTTAGATATATATTGGGTGTATGGATTTAACTTCTTTGTTGTTATGCATGGCGGATCAAGTAATATCACTAATATTACTTTACTAAAGTTTTTGAGTCATAATCCATGTATGTAACGGACATTTTCTTTAAAAATCCGTATACAATCCGAAACTACAATGAAACTCTATGTATGAGCCGCATAATAGCATGATCCCAGCGTTTCTCTTCCTAAATGTTTACGGTAATGTAGAAAGTATAGACCCTAAATTAATTGAAAAAGATATTCAAAAGGTTATCACAATATCTCGCCCGGTTCTCTCGTCTAACTTTTCTGTCGCTAAACCTTCAGAGTCCAGGCGGCGGACACCATCAAACAACAGGCAGCATGTGTGCGTTGTATAGGCCTAAAGGTTCCGAATACTGGCCCATAATCTTGTATCTAGAGTATGCCCGTTCTAACCTGCGTACGGGCATATACTCTGCTATACAGCCCAGGTATTAGAAGTTCACAACGAATTTAGACAATGACTCTTCGAATTCTGTGCACCATGTCCACGAGTGGAGTCAGGAGTTAAATCGAACCTGCGATATCAAAGAGACCTGGATCAAACGTCGCTCTTCTCATGCGCCAAACCTAATAGCTGCAATAAAGTATACTATACACAGGAGCGACTTTTGAATAAGTTAAGGCTCGTTTACACTTGCAATTTTTGCTGCGATTTTTGGTGCGATTTTCTTCTTCTCATGGATGTGAACGAGTGGATAAGTTATGAATGTTCAGATGAGGGTACATGCACTCACATGCACTCCGAACATTCGTAACTCCTCTACTCATTCATATGCATCAGAAGGAGAAAATCGCACTAGAAATCGCAGCAAAAATTGCAAGTGAAGGAGTAGATTACTTAATGATGTTGTTGTGAGATTTCATAACTTGGAACATTTATAACTGATCTACTCCTTCACATCCTCCAAAAAGAGAAAATCGCAACTGAAATCGCGGCAAAAATCGCCCGTGTAAACGGGCCTTTAGAATGG